GATGGGACGTGGGGCGGAGCGCGGGGCCGCAGGGCGGGGCGCCGGCCTCACCTGACGGGGTTGTGCTCGGTAGCTACCGTCTCCGGGTTGTCCTGGGACTCGGGGGCGGCGGCAAGGCCAGGGGAGTCTCCGGCCTCAATGGGGAATCTGCGTCCTTGCGGGGGCTCCTGGGCACTCATGTCCAGGCCCCGGGGCACTCTGCGTGGGGAGTGGCGGTCAGCCGGGCGCCCCCTGCCTGCGCCCGCCCTTCCGGGTTTCCCCTCACTTGCCGGAGGCCGAGGCCGGTCCCAGGCTGGAAGCGGTTGCCCGAGCCCTGGCCACGGGAGGTTGCTCCGGTCCAGGAGGGGCCGGGCAGGTGTCTGCCGCTCGCCCAGGCCGGGTGGTCGAGGGGGAGGGCTGCACTGTGACCCGTGCGTTGGCGCTGTGACATCACAGATTGTTCCTCTCGCCAGGGAACCCTCGCTGCCCAGGGCTACTCTGGCACTCAGCGCGGGGACTCAAGCTTGGGGGCTGCAGGCTCAGGCTATGGTGCCTAGAGACCGGGTCACACAGGCCCTCAGATCGGGGCGCAGGAGTCTGGCATCCCTGGCCCACGCAGACACCGCGGGCTCTGTCCTCAACTCCTCTCCCTCAGGGCCTGGCTCAGGGAGCGGTGACTTCACCAGTGCTAGGTCTGGGGGTGGTGAGGGCGGGCAGGACCGCTGCCCATTTGGGCCTAGGGTCACACAGTATTTACATCACAATCGGGCCGAGGTTAAAAATGTCTAGCCCTTTCCCTCTCCACCACCCGTGGCTGCGACCAGAGGAGAATGTTCTAGCACTGGGTTGGCTGTGGATGAAGTCCTTGGGGGAGAAGAGGAGCAGGCCAAGGGCGATGGTGAAGTACAGCTGCCTCACTGAGGCAGCATGAGCTAAGAGGGTGACTGAAAGGAAGGAGGCATCAAGACAGCATGGAGGACTTTCTGCTCTCCAATGGGTACCAGCTGGGCAAGACCATTGGGGAAGGAACCTACTCAAAAGTCAAAGAAGCGTTTTCCAAAAAACACCAAAGAAAAGTGGCAATTAAAATTATAGACAAGATAAGAGGGCCAGAAGGTGAGCTGGGGCCCCTTTGGGGAAAGGGAGGGCTGGCTGAGGTGAGTGGGTGAAAACTCTTCTCTCCCCTTTAGTCAGCAGCCACAGAAATCAAGTCAGACTACTGCTCTGAGATAGGTCAGTAGGGAACCGAAGGATGGGAGCCTAAGAACATCACAACTCAAACCCCAAGAAGACAGTACACAGTGAAGGGCCCTGGGCTTTTTCTATTCCAGGAGTGAACAGACACTGGCAGCAGCCACAGGCAGGGCTAGTAGAGGGCAGGGACCAGTACCAAGGCAGGGAGAGAAGGGCAAGAGGGAGACAAGGGTCCTGGGAAAAACGGGATCAGAAGGAAGGGTGGGAAGAGCTGGCATTCCTACCTGTGGGGCAGATCAGGCCTCCCAAGATCCAATGGCTTTTCTTGGGTTGTTTTTGTTTGTTTTGTACCAGGGATGGAACTCATGACCTTATGCTTGTAAAGCAGGCATGGTGCCAATGAGCTAAATCAAATTTCTGAACATTTTTTGAGACAGGGTCTTGCTATGTAGCCCAGGGTGGACTCAAAACACCTCCTGCCTTAGCCTCCTGAGTGCTGGGATGACCAGCGTGTACCACCATGCTTGGCTCCGAGACCCAATGGATTTGTCTAAGGTCCCCTGATATCCACGATCTCACAGACTGCTCACAATCCCTCAAGTTGGCAGGGAGTAGATCCTTTGAAAATATAAACACAACTACTAGTGAATATTCTTTGTAATATCCAAGTTGATGGACACATATGGGAACTATTAAGCCAAAGACCCAGATGTGCTGGGTAGACAGAAGCTGGAAGGCAGGAGGAGTCAGGAGTGATGAGTTAGGCCCTTCTGATTTTGGGGGGGTACTGGGGATCAAACTCAGGACCTTACACTTGCAAGGCAAGGGGGTGGCACCACTGAACTAAATTCCCAGCCCCCTTCTGATCTTTCTTTGATACAGGGTCTCCCTTTGTAGTCCAGGCTGGCCTTGAATTCACAGCAACCTTTCTGCCTCAGCCTCCCAAGTGCTGGGATTACATGTGCGTACCACAAGGCAAGGGTTGGGCCCTTCTGATCTTTCTAGTTTCTTTCCTCCCCTTATTTCCTTAGAGTTTATCCAGAGATTCCTGCCTCGGGAACTCCAGATCGTGCAGATCCTTGACCACAAAAACATCATCCAGGTGTATGAGATGCTGGAGTCCACTGATGGGAAAGTCTACCTGGTGATGGAGCTGGCCGAGGGAGGGGACGTCTTCGACTGCGTGCTGAATGGGGGACCACTGCCTGAAAGCCAGGCCAATGCCCTCTTCCGCCAGATGGTCGAGGCCATCCGCTACTGCCACAGCTGTGGTGTGGCCCACCGGGACCTCAAATGTGAGAATGCCTTGTTGCAGGGCTTCAACCTGAAGCTGACCGACTTTGGCTTTGCCAAGATATTACCCAAGTCACGCCGAGAGCTGAGCCAGACCTTCTGCGGGAGCACAGCCTATGCGGCCCCCGAGGTACTGCAGGGTATTCCCCACGACAGCAAGAAGGTCGATATCTGGAGCATGGGCGTGGCCCTATACGTCATGCTCTGTGCCAGCCTACCTTTTGATGACACAGACATCCCCAAGATGCTCTGGCAGCAGCAGAAGGGGGTGTCCTTCCCTCCTCATCTGGAAATCTCTTCTGAATGCCAGGACCTGCTCAAGCGGCTCCTGGAAACAGATATGACCCTCCGGCCTTCCATTGAAGAAGTTAGTAGGCACCCATGGCTAGCAAGCACATGATAAATAAAATGGCAAGTCCTCCCCAATAAAGTAGGGGGAGAAAGCAAACCCAAAATCCGCTTCTAAAATGGTGATATATATGTATATTTTACACATTTACTTACCCTAAAGCTTACTTACACCCTCCCCAGACTGTTCTTTCCCTCTAAAGATCTTCATGGAACCAAGGGCCTCATTCAGACTTCTTTTTTATTACCACTGGCAAGTGATTTTCACACAGATGTTCAAAGCTCATGAAATTAGAACCCAGAATTATCCATACAGGGGGAGGAGAGGAGGAAAATGACCAAGAGCAAGTGGAATCACGACTGCTGCAACCTCCTTCCCAAATAAAAGCAGGAGCGTGGGGAATGCAGAAACGGCCTCTGACTCCTTGTCTCGGTGAGAGGTCTATTGGGGCCCCATCCTAGACTCAGCCTGGCTTCTGGGATGAGGACCGGAGACTTCCTCAGGGCCAGGCTGTATCCCCACCTGTGCCTCCAGCTCCAAGTGAGATGCCACCCCTGCAGAGTGTGCGCCCTGCCCAGGCTCCAGTGTGGCTGCCCCGGGGGACAGAAACAGACCCCCAGACACCTTCTGGCTTCTGCTGGATCTCTTTAATATTAACGCCAAGTCTGCAAAAGGTTCAGGACAAAGTTCTTTTTTCTCTCCTTTTTAATTACAAAACTAACAGCTGTTAGAATCTGGTTTTTTTGTTGTTTTTTTTCTTCCTATTTTCTTTTCCTGGCTACAAAATACTCTGGGGAGACGCATTATAATTTAAAATATATAATATTGCACAAACAACCAAAAAGTTAATTAAACTAAAGAACTAATTACAAAGAGAAAAACCCCACCCCATCAGAAAGACTCAGCATTCTCTCCACCCCACCCCTCTTCGGCGTCCCTGACCACCATCCCTCAGTCACTGTGGACACAGCCGCTTACGTACGAGAATCACCACAATAGCATTACGAAGCACCAGGGTCTCCAGGAATCTCTGTGGCCCTCACTGCCCCAAAAGAGGTGCAGCTTCACCAGACTGCAGGGTGGCTCTGTCTCTAGGAAGGGAGCCTTTGCAGAATCCTGCCAAGTGCCAGGGCGTTTCCCTGGCACATCCTCTCTGAAGCAGAAGGCAGAGGCAGAGAAGCTGGCCTTTCCAGGCTGTAAGTGCTTGCTTTTGCTCACTGTTCCATACTGCTGGGAGCTGCCTTGTGCCTTAAGCTACAGGGGAGCTGAGGTGGACAGGTATTCTGCCAGGCAATGCACAGGAGTGCCTGGAGCGGCCCCCTCCTCTCTTGGGGAGGGAAAGGATTCCAAGAGTGGACCTTACAGTGGCACAGCTGGGCTAAGGACTTGGGTGCATCTGAAATGAAGAAGCCCTGGAAACTGTGAGGACATCCCCATGTGGGCAGAAGAGAAGGAAGGAGGTGAATTCTGGTTTGGTCTCTAGATTCCGAACCCCAAAGATCCTTTCCAGGAGTGGAATATGCTGGAAGGGGAAGATTCCCAAGAGACGCAAATTTCCCAGAAATGAGTGCCTCTCACACATTGCAACAGGAACCAAATTATGCTCACTGCCCCTTTTTAGCCAAGGACAGGTGGCACGGCGTCCTGGCCTGCATAGGAGTGGACAATGTATTGTCTCTGCTTCCTTGAAGAGACTGGTGGTTAAACTTCTGTCTGCACACAGAAGGGCCAGAGCTGTCCTTGGGATTTTGCTGCAGGAGTCCCCAAGAGCAGTGGGTGTTCAGTGGCAAAATGTAGGCTCTCGGTGAAGGCATCAGTGTCTTCCCATTAGATCATCCTAAGGTTGGCACAAGTCAGAGTTCTGGGTTTGGATTTAGAGATCTCCTTCCCAGGTGTGAGTAGAGGCCTAAAGGCCAGCAGGGAGCACAGAACCTGTGCTCAGAGCACGGGACAGCAGAGGCCATTTGGGGAACATTCTCAGTGTCATCCGGGGCTGGGCTGAGATGAGCCAGGGAGGTGGGAGGTGTAGTGGGGGAGCTGCTCACTTTGGCTCCCCTTACTCCCAATCCTCCCACTCTACATCTTCCAGCTGTAAATGAGAGGGGAACGGAGAGCACAAACACACATTTACTCCTTTGTGTCCGGCCCAGACCCAACCTCCCTGGCTGAGCAGAACTGCCTCCGTTTCAGGATCAGTGTCCCCAACCCCTACCCTGCACCATACCCTGACCTGCTATGAACCTTTAGTCTTAAGGAGTAAGTGCAGGGTGCAGAGCTGCCTCTGCCCGAGGGCTGGGTTTGTTGCCCACCTGATTTTTCACACCCAACAGAAATGCTTCCACCACCAACACCGGACTCTGTAAGGGAATGCCCTGCCCGAGGAAGCAAGTCCACCAGTCCCTTGAGGACCTGTCTCCTGCTGAGCAGATTAATGTGATGCTTATGAAAGACAGGGGTGCCACGTGACCAAGCAGGATGGCATGGCCTATAGGTGCTCAGAAGATCTCCACCAGGGGCTCAGTACTCTTAACTCCCAGCTGAAGTCTCCCCAGAGAACCTTCCTTTGCCTTGTAATTCTTAGCCTGCTGTTAGCTGCTCCCTAGTATAATGGGTTACAGAAGGGCCCTGTCAGGTTTTTTGTTTGTTTTGAGACAGAGTCTCACTATGGAGTTCAGACTGGCCTTGAGCTAGAAGTGTGCCATCATGCCCAAGGCTTGTGTCAGGCTTTCTTTTTTTTTTTTGTACTGGGGATGGAACTCAGGACCTTGCGCTTTCCAGGCAGGCGCTGTCACTGAGCTTAATCCCCAGCCCACTTGCGTCAGGTTTCAAAGAAGCCTGCAAGCTAGGTGTGAGGCACGTGGCTGTAATCCCAGCACTCTGGAAGGCCTGACACAAGTTCGAGCCTGGACAATTTATGAGACTCGATCTTAAAATTAAAAAAGGGCTGGGAATGTAGCTTAGCATAAAGGCCCTGAGTTCAATTTTCAGTACTGGGGTTCGGAGAGAGGGCTGCAAAAGCCAGGCACAGTGGTACATGGCTATAATCTCAGCATTCTGGGAAGCTGAGACAGGAGGATTACAAATTTGAGGACAGCTTAGGTAACTGAGCATCTTAGGGAGACCTGTCTCAAGATTAAAAAAAAAAAAAGGCTAGAGATGCATATAGCTTAGTTCAAAGCCCAATGTTTGTTCAATCCCCAGTTACACACACACACACGCACACACTTGGAAAGCAGATGTAAAGATAAAAAGCTTGGAAACATCTGTGGCATGACAGGGTACCATGAACTTTCTATACACCCTGGCAAACATGAGGTTGTAGGTGCAAGATATTTTTTCTTTTTTGTGGTACTGGGGATTGAACCCAGGACCTTGTGCAGTCTAGGCAAATGCTCTACCACTATGTGACATCCCCAATCATTTTTGCTTTTATTTTGAGAAAGGGTCTTGCTAAATTAATTGCTGGTCTTGAGCTTCTTTTGACCCTCCTGACTCAGTCTTTTGAGTAGCTGGGATTAAAGACGTGTGCCACCAGCTGAAATACTCTGGAGCAGATCACTGCCTCCCCTGGGCTACAGTTTGCTAATATGAAAATCCAGCCTGTGTGTGTTTCTCTCATTTGCCTTCCCCTTGTTTCGGTGATGCTGGCAACTGGATGCAGGACCTTCTGAAAGCTAGGCAAGTGCTCTGCCACTGCACAACATCTCAGCTCAGGGTCTGTATTTCTTTTTTTGGTACCGGGGATCGAACTTGAGACCTCGCGCTTGTGAAGCAGGCGGTGGAAGCAGAGCTAATCCCTGGCCCTCAGCAACTGTATTTCTAAGCAGTTCCTTAGACTGGGACACAGAGTTAAAAGTCAAGAACTCTCCCATCCATCTACCCGAGAACCAATGGGAAGCAGCTTGCAGTCATGGGCCTATGAGGGAGGGGCCAGCACCCTTCCTACAGCCGACACCTGGTGGAGAGTTCTCAGATGCTAGCGCCAGGGGCTGGCTTGCCTGTGGCCAACCAGACTCACTCACCTCACCAGAGGCGTCCACTTTGGAAAGGGCCATCTGTACTTCTTCTTCGGTCATGTCCAAGTCGAAGTCCTTCTCCCAGTCCTCACTGATGTCCGTGCTTGAGCCTGGAACCATGAGCCACAGCATGAAATGCAGGAGGGGCAGATAGAGAACTAAAGAGGTTTAACTGGGGTGACAGAAATCTTTAACAGGGATAACAAGACAAGGTGCAACAAAGCCTCTGTAATCTACTTTCACTCTCACTATGCAATCTCATATTTAGGAATCTAAGGAAAATTCCTGGATTCAGTAAAAAAAATTTACCCAAAGGATGTTAACCATTGTGCCATTATGCTGATGAAAACTCAGAAACAACCTCAAAGTCCACTGACAGAAAATTAGAAGAAATGGTTACATTATGGAATATGATGTGGCTTTACTTTGCTGTGGCACTGGAGACTGAACCTGGGCCTTCGCAATGAGCCACATCCCTGGCACGTAAACTTTTTTTTTGTTTTTGAGACGGGGTCTCACTATGTAGTTGAGACTGACCTGGAACTGTGTAGCGCAGGCTGGTCTTGATCTCACAGCGATCCTCCTGCTTCAGTTTCCCAAGTGCTGGGATTACAGGCGTGTGCCACCATGCCCAACTATAGTTTTTTTTTAAAGACTAAATCAATGAGTTGCTCCAGCTGGGTTTGAGCTTTTGATCCTCCTGCCTCAACTTCCCAAAGTGCTTGGCTTACAGGCGTCTGCCACCATGCCTGGCTTGATGTGGTTCAAAGAATTTTATATCCTTGCATGGCAAAACATTCTTAAACTATTAAGTGAGAAAACGCAAGTTACTAAAGAGTGGATGGGGCCAGGGATTTGGCTCAGTGCTCCGTCACCTTCCTTGCAAGGTCTCGAGTTTGATCCTTGGTACCCCCCGCAAAAAAAAGAAGAGTGGAGAAGCTGGTTGAGATGGTGGCACATGGCTGGCTATCATCCCAGCTACTTGGGAGGGTAAGGCAGGAGAATCACAAGAGGATACAAGTGTGAAGCGAGCATGGGCAATGGAGTGAGATTCTGTCACACACTCACACACACACACAAACGCATCTAGTGTACACCAGCACACTGGAAGGCTGAGACAGGAGGATCAACTGAGGCAGAAGGATCACTGGGAGTTCGAGGCCAGACTGGGCTACAAGACCAGCCTGAACTCTATAGCAGGGCCCTGTCTTAGAGAAAAAAAAAAA